TAACCGTTAGCTCCATCCATCCTATTGCTTCCACCAAGGTGCTGGAATGCCGTGAGGGAGAGGCTAGCGGCGGCAAGGAATGTGGTTCGGGAAGTTAACGCAGGCGGAGGAGGAGCTCCGTACCATGCCGCCGCCGGGCATTCAACAGCAGCAGCGGCGGCTGGAGGGGGGGGGGCAGAGGATGGGCGCCCGAGGGGGGTGGGGGGAGGCAAGGGGCCTCGCGGCGGGATTCGACCGGCTGGTGGGGGGGGTAGGGCGAGGTCACGAAAGGTAGGCAGGGTTTCGTGTCGTTAGAGTTACGACGCCACCCGCTCAGAACTGTCTCCGTGTCCGAAACTCGGTTTCTCGTTTTCCCTGTGGGTTAGACTTGACCTGTGGGTTACGCTAAACCAGCAACCACCCAAACATGTCCAGGTTTTACATGTAAATATACTTGTAGGGTTCTAAAACTGGGCACCTACGGTCAAGTCCTTGAAATTATGTTCTTCTTTGAACCTGAGCTTTTAACTCCCAAGGTAGCTGTTACTGGAAGCGGTGACGTGTATTGCTTTATTTACTCCCTTCCGGACTGCCTCTACGACTTTCAACAGATCGTTGATGAACACCTGGAAAAAAATGTTGGGGACAACGTGCAACCTTGTGGGACCCCCTGTTCAATGTTGAAGAATTTAGACAGTTCTCCTTCTAGCATGACAACGCTTTTCGTACATTCTGTCATCTTCTTCAGCACCTCCACGTTTTCCCCTCTATCCCATACTTCGGCAGTTGTTCCCACAGCCAATTTCTCCATACTGTATCACAACAGGGGTGGTATGGTACAAAACGCGATGCCATGATGCCTGCCGCCTTTGATCGGAACGCCTTACCTTCGCGAGAAATTAAGCTTATGAGGGAATAGAACTGGTGGGGGATACGCAGACCCCATCATCCCTAAGCCTAACCCAACTTCCCCGATGGCACCCTTTATCCAACGTGTTAACTCATTCGAAAAAAAAATGATAAGGCTACTGCGTTGATCGTTCGTTGCCGCCGTTCTTGCCATGACGCCCTCGATCGTTTGTTATGCCGTTCTTGGCTTGACAGGGAGGAGAAGCCGTCGACATGGACGTGGATAGCGATGTCTCCTCCTGCGACGAGAGCAACAACGACAACAGCCCCCCCCGGGGGGCGGCACACGGACAGCAGCGCAATGCCACCCGGAAGCGGAAGGCGTCCCGTGTGCTGGGCCCCTCAAACGCCGCTTCTTCCTCCTCAAATGCTGCCGCAGCATCATCAGCAGCACGCAAGCGCGGGCGTAAGGCAGAAGGCGGTAGTGGCAGTGGGAGGGGGGGCGGCAAGGCTACGGCGGCGGCGGTCGCGGCGGCGGCGGCGGATGTTGTGCCGGTGGAGCGGCTGGACTGGCCCTCTACTGTGATTCCGCGGACCCCCTACGCGGTCCCGCTGCTGCTGTCGTGTCTCAGCACGTACCCGGATAAGGTGAGGGGGAAGAGGGGGCTTCTGGCTGCATCTGATGGACCCACTAGAGTACTATTTACAGGGGATGTACTGTAGATCGTACCTCTACAGATGTTTTTTTGCTGTTAGCACCAGCCGGCGGCATCACTGCTAAATATTGCAGTGTATCGTCTTACATAGACTCAAAGTAAGCCCAGTATCCAGCCGGTTTTTACCTCCCACTCACTGTAAGGACTTGAAACCCACCCCCTTCGACTGCTGCTGTGGTAATATCTCGAACGGGTGGTCTTTCTTTGAATGGATGATTATTTCCCAACAATGATTGAATGCCCCGTTTGGGCGGGGGGGGCGGGAGTCCGGCTGGTGGACTTTTATTGGTCTCGAACCTGCTTCGGGATGCCCCCGCATCGTGCTGCGTGCGTGGTACACATATTGCGCGTTTAATGCACTTGATGCCGACGTGCCGCTAATGCAAGGCACTAAGTAGCGTGGGGTGTCCCTCTAGGCTACGTTGCGCTTGCTTGCATGACACGACATTAGAGTTGTGCATCTTTTCGTCGGAGTTGCTCTGCCGTATGCATACATTATACCATACATTCGCCTGTTCTGGTACTCCGGCACACGACGTTCTTAAGGGTACCTCCCCCCCCCCCCCCCCC